GTTGCTCGCTTTCAGCAGGCCGTTGACTTACGTAAGGAGGTAGAAAGGTGATGTGACATATATTCTTATAGCCAATAGACTTTAAAGTTCCAAGTATACCCAGTTCTAATATTTCAGAACTGAAAAGGGATATAGAACTATGCAGGTTATATAGTCAATATTAGATACACAAAGTATGTGGTTCACGCAACATCTGCAATGGGACCTGGCCTCTTACAATTTCTGTCCGACGAGGTCTTGCCAGGCATCTTTGGTCTTCACTTCAATGCGGAGGTGCTTTAGTCAGCTGGCCTAGTTGCTGCTGGTCAATCTGCTGCTCGACGACGAGGTTGACGTGGTTTTTGAGCTGCAAAGCAAAAATTTTGTTTGGCAAGTTCTGCTAGGACACGTGCCCAGTCTCAATGATTATCATATAACGGATAGATTTTGAGACATGATGATAGAGCGCGAAAAGAGCATCTGCTACTTTCGATGCAAAGATTTGTTCCGATGTTACCTTGTCCTTCGATATTCTTATTCAACTTGTTGTTCTATTGGCGTGTTGCTTATTTTGTGCTGTAGATAGCCTGTTGTAGTAAGCCATTTATCTCCGGGTTGGCTTGATTCTTAAAGCCATCAGGCTGATCCACATAAATTTCTTTATAGAGAAATGCCGTATCCACGTCTACGTTCTTAAGCTCCGTGTCTTCTAGCCATGCCTTCTTGTACTTGTTTTGCATGACTTCATCGTATGAAACAGCGCGTTTGCCATCGTCGTCTTTGATGTGAAGACAATAGCGAGAATTGTAGGAATTAATTATCAAGGTTTAATTGTCCTCGACGCATACTCGGGTATGCGTCTTGTCATCAGAGTACTCCACGCCACTTACGCTTAGGTCGTATCATCCTTTCTTCTTCTTCATTCCTACCTGGTGTAAATTGTCCACGAGTCGACATTGAGTGAGCTGGTCCATTATCCTTCTCTTGATGGTTCATCATGCATTTTCATTGTTGGTGTACGGAAGCCTTCAACGACATCAGTATTCTCTGCGGTATCTCAATTTTTTCGTTTTCGACGACGTCGATCACACCTTCACTTGTGACCTTCGACATCTCCCTCGACGAATTCTCAGCAAAGGTTATACCTCCAGAGGTAACAATAGATTCATCGACAGCATGGGGTAGCTGCTATCTCTTGTACTACGAAGCATGTCCGAGAAAGTAGCGCATGGCATCACAAAGATCTAGCTTTTGCGCTTCTCCTTGACAATATAAGCGTAAGACTTACTTTCGAGCATTCGAAGTCTTGTCTAAACTGCTTTCCTTCAGCATGCAGCGGTCATTTCAATCAGGATCGCTTCATCGGCCGCCATGCCATTTTGCTGGGGATGGTACGGTACAGTGAACGCTTGGTTGATCATATTGGCATTTCAAGTACGCCCTTTGCCTTATTGAAATATTCGCCACAGTTATCGCTGCGTAGCACCTTGTTCTTCTCCCCAGAAATCATCTTAATTTCCTTGAGGTATTCTCTTAACGCATCCTAAACTTAGTTCTTCCTTCACAACGGATATATTGTCGCGTAAGGACTATTCATCATGATTAAGTCACGATACACTTGTATCCCTACTTTGACGCTGGTGTGATCGTCCAAGCGCATACAAACACGCGATATTATTCGATGGTATGCTCACCCTGCCTTCCAGCCCATCCTTGCTTGAATGGAATGTTATTCGCACTTATATTCATACATTACACACAGAACCGCTTTTGGCTGGTGTACAATAGATTCGTCCGCCTTAAACATGTCTTTCAGCGTGGTGAACAATGCATGTCACAGTCGCTGATGCCATTGATGACATCTTTCGTGACACTCGCTTCCTCCGTCAGTGTTGAGATACAACAACTTTCTCGCGTCCGACCGGCTGATACAGGAACGTTTTCACAACACTGGTCCTTTGTCATAGTGACTGTCGTTCTACGCACCATTGCTGCTGTAAGTAAGAGCATATTCGCAAGCAAATATTTCACGCGCAGCGCGTCTTTCAACCGTGCGTAGATCCACGAGCGTCTAGTTTAAGCTCACAGGACCACCGCGTCGTAGCCGATAACTTTGAAAGTCGGCATTGATTTTTGCGCCTGACACATTGAGTGAGGTTCTGATTTTCATGAAGTCCCAAAACAAATCGCGCGACTTGCATATGTGTGCCGACGCTCCACTTTCCATAATCCAGCTCTCATTGGAAAAACCCACCAGGTACAGTGAATGTCACGATTGATTGGTCTTGGAATCTTTCATTTGATCTTGCCTTCAAATTACTGTATTTTGCGTAGTAACCCATCTAACCACAATTTAAGCACCGAACTGACGTTTCCTCCTTGTATCCTCTGTGTTTGCTTATTTTTCGGGTGCTTTTCCTTGCTCTTTCTTTCTACAGCGCAGTCACTTCTTCAATGCGCGTAGAATCCGTCTGCCGCATATCCTCTGCAATCAGCTTGCTTACAAAGCTACAAGCTTAAGCTCCTGTATCGACATACAAAACGCTTGCACCAGGCTCCGATAGACTCCGTGGAATTGTCGCACAGACGTGTTATTCACTTAGCTCACAGCCTGCGTACTTCATCAGCATCACAAAATTCTTCAATTATGTCTCCTGCTCACTGACGGAGGTTGCCGTGAGCTTGAATGTTGGGATCCTAGCCACAAACATCATGCGTCTTGTGGATCGTCTTCAACATATCCCAAGCCTTCGTTGCGATCAATGCTGTCACTACTGCGAATTGTTGAGCTTGGAAAATGTTGACGCTTGCACTTGCTGTTCCTCACCTTGACGCTTTCGTCTGCCTCCCACAGTCCCTTTGACATCAGGTACATTTTTCGTTTGTGACTCTCAGAATGTAGTTGGAGCAGTCGAAATACTCGACTTTGAATTTAGTATCATTACTAGGGCTTTGAACCTAATGAATTAAGATTTTGAAGAGCTACTTGTTTTCAAAGTGGTGAAGCGAAGAGTGAGTTATAGTGTGGCTGTAAGCCACCGTTCCTTCGCCCGTACGTTTGCAGTCACTACGAAATATAACATTTGGTTAATCATTGCATCGTTTCAAATGCAATATCGAAAAGTGATTGCGTTAAGGGAGCGTTTTAAGGAGAACACAAGGTTTAATTGAGCCCTGAATACCAGTTCACAACGATTATATGCACGCGGTGTGATTTAACCCCACAAAACCACTTTGCCAACACTAAGTGCTGCAAATTAAATTATTAATATGCAAAAAGTCGACACAACATACATGTGAAATCGTCGACAATTTTGTTTTAGCTAAGTACGACTTCTTAAACGGAGTATGTCGCAATCTAAAATATCTTTAATTTTTTATATCGAGACTTAAGAAATTTACCGAAGCGGCAAGTTTTGGGTTGAATTTGAGCCTACAAATGCGAACACAATAGATCTTGAATCTACCCCCCTTCGACGACTCGGGCATACATACACTTCTCAATTTTATGTGTCGTGATGAAGTTGACTAGTCGAGTTATCGAGGTGCCTCAGCCCTAATCTCCCAAGCACCTACGCAAGACATGTCTCCATAGATACCGAAGCCAGTCGTCGTTTCACATTTCTCGCGCAAGATGAATGTAAGCAACCCAACTGGCGGTTTTGCTGGATCCGTACCCACCAATCCAATCACCGGTGGTATCCCTGATTCCGGCCAAGCCTCGCTTTCTTACACGGACCAGGACAGGATTTGCAAAATTCAAACGACGGTGTGATTTTGCAGCTCGATACAGAACCGCATGCTGTGCTGTGTTATGATGAAGATGCACAGAGCACCAACGTCAAGCTCCACAGGAGTCAACTCGCTGACATAATTAAGCAGGCTCGTCCATAAGTTCTGCCAAGTGCCTGTTATGGGATGATCATTGAGACTGGGCACGCGTTCCAGCAAACCTCGCCAAGCAAATCCACTCGAGGACCATGGCATTCCCGTCATCGAGCAGCAGATTGACGAACAGCGACGAGGTCAGCTAAGTAAAGCGTCTGGTTGTAAAACTCACATTAAAGTGAAAACGCAAGGAGTCTGTCAGAATCTCGTTGGTCAGAAAATCAAGGTTTCTGGAGGCAGGTAGCGAATCCGCGAGTCTGACATTCTTGCCGACTGATTCTTCAATGATGTGTCGAGTATTGACAGGGATTTCGACGTCATGCTAATTCGCTAATTCAAGCTCGGAGTGCAGCTGATTTACGGTACGTTCCGAGATGTGAATCTGGACGCGGTCATCTCGACAGCCACCTGACGTATGGTTTTTCGCTCTAATCGGTGCCCTGCGAGCTTGCTGTACGCTGCGCTCTCTGTGACAACCTCGTTTTGCTGAATACATCGACCCAGTACATACTCAGAACGTTTCTTTTCAGACCCAATGCATGTCGTTTGGCTAACCTTCTGTTCATGCGCTAGACTCAGCTGAGGATGTTGCCCTGTCTTTCACTACCATTCACGCCTGGCCGGACCTGACCCCAACACGGCCATCATATGCTGCTGTGGTACGTCGAATCACAAATGAATCTTTGCTTCAGCGATTGAGCCACTAAAGCACCACCACAACAAACGCCATTGTCTCAACCGTATCATCAAATAGCAATCTGACGCCCAGTAAGTTTCTACTGGGGCCTGCATGCTCCCAAGTCGCGTCTCCACCAGGCAATCCGACATTTTATCGGCTGCTGTTGGCAACGCAGCCAGCACCGGCGTCCTAATCTGCACTTTTACTAACTGCTGGAGGCAAGCATATAAAAAGGGTTTGCGCGCTGATGAGGAATTTGCCGGCATGCTGGTGATATGTCGTCCAAAACCTCTTGCTGGAGGGTCAACAAGTAAATACTTCGACGTACCTAGCACTTTCGAGATTAAGTTCGATTGATTTACAGTGACGCTAGATGGAGTTACAACCCCGCACTTTCAGAAAGTACCGCGAAAGATCCCAGTGTCTACCTAGGATCATCTCTTGAGCTTCTTGTTTAACATGCAAGCATCTGACTTGCGCTAGGAAGAAAAAGGTCACCGTGCGACAGCTGGTAGTTGAAAGCTGTACTCAGGCATTTTTCAAAGCCATCAGCCGCGACGTGGTAAAAGCTAGCTGTAAGGCCATCCATGTCGGGCGAGGAGCTGGCTTTCATGTGCTTGAGCGCGTAGGTGAATTCAGCTCCAGAAATTATGTTAACCAGCAAAGTTTGGTTTTCTGATGTAAGAACGCTTGTCAATCGTGTCCAGCAGCTCTCGTTGACTGTCAGAATTTGCAATTGGTGGTGGTCCTGTAGGGCTGTCAGTATCACCCATGATAGCTCCATAATAAGCGCTGAAATACTAGTTTCGCGAGATATTGCCTTCTGAATTTCGAACTTCTTCAATACTCACCCGTCGGAGTGATGGGTCGAGCGGATAGGAAAGTACCGGGAAGAAGTCTTGGCATTCTGAACTTGGAACTCAAAAACCGCTTATTGGTTATAGAAACGATACTGGGGCACACAGTCGCGGTGTGTATCTAGTGCAGCGTAAATGGCTTCTTGAGAGATGGTATCTCGTTCAATGCGGTATTTTGCTGATGCTTCGTCTGGCAAATCTTGTGCGGTCGTAATTGCAGCGTCATTTTGATTTCGTAGGTTACGTTGTAGAGACTGGGACTTTCGCCTCATGGACTTCTTTCACAGTTTCTGGACATTGCCCGGGTTCGATGTCGCATGGAGACCTTTGAGAACTTGCTTGGCTTCGCCACGGATTGCATCTACAATATTGGAGTACTCATGAAAGTACTCCAGGAAGCACCAGTAGCCGAATCTACGAGGCTGAACAAAAGCACAAGTTCATTGTCTGTGCTAAGTGGTCACCGGCGCCCTTGAGCTCAAAATTTACACGGCGATGAGGCTTCCGAGAACAAAGCGATGGCAAGTCACTTTTGGCGCGGCTGGTGGCCACAGTAAATGCGTGCATCTTGGTCATGGATGTGCCAGGCATTAACAACACCCAGTTGGCATAGCCAGCTCATACAGGCGCTACACACTGGATGAGCTGAAAGCGTGGTCTGAAAAAGTCAAGGCTGGGGTTGAGGGACGTAATTAGATCACCAAGGGCAATGTGTGTTGCCTTGTCTTCAATACGTTTATTGGAAGATGGTTAAAGCAGATGTCTTTGTCGTGATCGTCCACCCGCGATGATTGCAAATGGGAGTATTGGCGACTTCCAGTCAAACGACCAAATAGCACTCTAAAATAGTCAGTCTTCGAGTTTCCTTTGCCGTGTCGAGACCTGTAGTATAAAGGCAAAATACAGTCATCACCCGCCCGATCAGTGTGTTGACTGTGAAGCCCTGGTCACGTCAGGGTGCATGAGGGCGCTGTTAACAACAGCCCCTCCAACACAACACACACGCTTGCGCGACGATGAAGCGATTCCCGATGAGGACGGAGAAGGACGGTCCCAACTTGGAGGGAAGAAGAACGACTTACGGCCTTTTAGACACATTTTCAACTGAATCAAAATAAATTAATTATTTCTAGCTACATGCACACCACCCCAACGGCTTTTAAAACTCCTAGGGGTTTTACTAATAAAGCCCTGGGTTCATGATGTATAAATCAAGGGTTTATTGGAGCTGAACTAGCAAAATGCTGCCCAATACTCAGGTTCACTGACGAAGCGGAATTGAAGGTTGAGCTAGAGCGTTTCCAGGTGGTGACAGTCTCAAAGTTTGATTTTTGGATGCAAGAACGGATAAACTTTGCTAGTGAGTGCGACAATTAGATGCCTCTTTTCCTTCACCCGGTTGGTGTTAATGGTTCACAAGCTGGCGTCTCGCAATGAAATCTTGAGTGAGTTCGCCTTGGAAGTTTGACGCAAGTGTTCCATCCACAAGGCCAAGTTGGTTTTCAGCTTGACGGAATTACAGCACTTCTGCTCTCTCTGGGAAGACATGGCCACAAACCCGAAGATACTCAATGTCGTCAAGTATATCTCCTTACCATCGGACTTCTTTCCAGATTTGAAGCAGTGTGTGCCGATCTGTGGGCGAAGCATGATGAATAGCATGTTGGGGTGAAGCAGACGCCTGTTGTGCGCTGGAAATCACGGTAATGACCAACGCGTCAGGTGTTGAAGCCGCAAATTCCTCTCAAAGATCATAGGCGCCGTACACATCGTCACTAGCTCGAAGAGAGATAGCGCTCTGGTTGCAAGCACAATGCTCGCTGAATTCGAGCTGTTCTAACATCAGGCAACACAGCGAAATGCAGAATCACGTGTTCTACGAGCCTTAATGCCGACATGGTTGGCAAAATTTTGGACATATATGTTGGTGTTGGATGGATCGGCCGCGCTCAAAATGCGGGGTGATCCTGTGAAACTGAGCGAGCTCTGTAATGCTGAGGCTCAAGTCACTAATCAGACGCAAGAGCGATGTGTTGAAAGCCATGGGTTCCTTGACAGAGCTCATAAGTGTGAGCGTGGCAAGGATGTTCGTCGTGCGGAGTGCTTTGTGAAGACAATCCACCATGACTTCGACAGCAGCAAAGTGATATGGTAGCAGCTGGAAAATAGCCGTTTCTTCATACATCGCATTGAATAGCTTTTAAATCAGAATCGGCTTCTTAGTCTCTACCGCACTAGAGCAAAGCTTAGGAAGAAAGTGACCGGCTTCCTTCGTGGAATTTTGTCGTGCGAGAGCTTGCGCTGTTCGCAACACGATCTAGAAGCGGGGGGCCGTAGCCTCATCGAGTATCGCTAGGAATAAATCAAACTCGATCTCGACGGTCTGGAGGACGTTAAAGTTGCTACTCGTTGTAACTTTAGCTAGCGTTTTTGGACGAATTCCATTAGCATGCTGGCAAAGTCCTAGTCAGCAGGCGAACCCTTTCCATTTCGCTGGCTGCGAGTAGTTAGCAGCAACACGAATAAGACTCCAGCCTGTAGTGCCAAAGGCCGTCTCGCTGTGCGCTATTTTGCCGTGAAGAGCTGTAGCAAAGACAATAAACGTTGTCTTTGTGTAGATTTGTGGATCGAACGCTACAGCAAATATTCGTGTGTGTCTGGAATTACCACAGCTGCATATGATAGCTGATCGTATTCAGGGCCGGCCTGGTAAAGGTGATAGTAGATGGCCAAATAAACTCGTCAGCTAGATCAAATGTATAGATTGAAGATTTATTGAACGATATTCGCTGTGTTAGGAACGCGTATACCCTATATAGTGCACTCTCGCAAAAAATAGCTCGTTGCACACAGAGCCGCGCATGACAAGCTCTTGAGGCCAAACAAATGCGAATACAAATAGCTGTAGTGTTTATCACATCTAAATGATCATTTTACATTTAGCCGTAGTTTGATGTGCTCTGCTCGAAAAAGCGTATTAAAATTAGGTCGGCGTTGAGATCACTGTAAACACTCGACGCATTAATCAAGAAGTGGTCGGCAAGAATGTCAAACTCACCAAATCAATACCTGCCTCCGAGATCTCTGATTTTATTTCCTGCTTTAGTACACTTCATTTGTCTGCACTTTGACGCCGGTATTGCCGACAAGTGCTTTGGTCAGCTGACTTGTTGCTGCTGGCCGATAGGCTGCTGGCCGATGGGATCGCCACGGTCCATTAGCAGCGAAGAAAGCATTTATACTGGTGCGGTGAACTGGAATTCATGTCCAATCTCAATGATCATTACAATACGAGCTCGAGGAAGCGCCCATGGATGGGGTTGCTTAGCCGTGACTCCAGACACGATTCATTCATACTGATCGTCAATGTTTATATCTTTGGTCAAGAAAGTTTAACCCTTGGTGGCGCAGCTCTCTCAACAATGTCATGTCGGAGCTCGATTAAACGGCGAAAGAATAAACGAAGATGACGGCTATTAGATGATCAAGTACGCACCATTTACCTCAGGTAGCTGAAAAGTGCTATTGTTGGCAGATTTCTTGATTTGGTGCGTACGGTTTGTGGTCTGCTTATCCTCGACAGAATATTGCATTACATGATGATCGTAAATGGAAGTCACTCTGCTACACCATCATAACATCAATTGCTATGACACACAGCGGAAATTTCCGTCCTCGTTCATGCGTAAAAACGAGAACAGAATGTAAATAGGGTTCCATCGGTCTCGGCGGAGTCCAAATATTTATGAGGTCGCACGGACTTTCGTAGAAGGTGGGCTGTGGAAACATGCTGAAGTGTTGAGAGTGAAACTACCTCACATCTCACATTTGTTTTGCATGATAAATAAACTCAATGGTTCAGCAGAGTGTTAGAAAGCGAAAAAGCCGAGATTCGTCGATCGAACTTATCCGGTTAACTTGATCACGACGCGACGAATTGAGAAGTGATCCTGTGTTTCCAAAAGTTTAATGGTTCGACATATGTTCTACTGTGTTTGTACTCGTGGGAACACATTCAACCCGCTGACAAATAGACTCGTTTGAAATATCGTTCTTGCCTGGGAAAGCTGTCAACTGCTTCTCGTGTATTTTCGTCACCGTTGGTGTTGCTGTTCTTATCCTTAAATAGATGCTTGCTGAAGTACCATGTTCACCGGCGTCGTACATCACACCTAGAATTAGATGAATTGTTGTGCTAAGGTGCGACAATCCTCCACACTCAGTATTCTGAATGGTCTAAGCTGTACGTTCGGGTTTTACTACATAAGGTTGCAGGAGCGCTAATATCCTCGCTTGCATAGCTAAACTATAGCAAAGAGAGGCTATTTCACTAAATATTACTTTCGTTATTCAGCATCTGAATCGTAAGCTAGCGATAGGCAACTATCAACGGTCATACCAACAATCTGTGCAATCCATAACGATAAAGTGGCGGTGCTCAAACAATGCGCTTGCAGATATGGCATTTATTGTAGTAGTCACTACAAAAGCCGAACGCGTTTAACATGTTTGTTTTCCGACGCTTACTTGGCGCTATCTAAATGTATTGTACATATCATACGTCATAGAGATGAGTAATTTCTCTACATAAATACGTTTTGTACAAAAGATGCACAACTTAAAATTGATGGAATGAGGTGTTCTTTTAGAGGTGTTCGGAAAATGCAACGGCTGACTTGCGCTTGATATTGACTTCTGCATTTTTTCATGCCTGAGGGGGAGCTCTTAGCTGAATATAAGATTACTCCTTGAGGTGGGACAACTCGAGCTACTTATATACGAAAGTATCAAGCATGCTATGCTGGAAGGTCTATATATAGACCGAATGTTTTGACCAGTGCCTGCGATAGTATTGATTCTGTCTTAAAGTCAATTACTCGTGAGACTTATATCGGGGTGAACGCAAAGCAGAAAGTAGCGATTAAAACTGACGTTTGTGAATTTCGGTGCAGCAGATCGTGTCGATTGGAATTTTTACCGCTATGGTAATGCACGTTGTGTTAAGCTTCGAGGATCATCGAACGAAAAAGACAAATATGAATTAAATTGTCGACATCTTGGCGGTAAAAAAATACTTTTTGAAAAGCCTTGGGTGTATTTGTTGCCTTGTCAAACAATAATATTATAGCCAGAAAATCTTAGTCAATTTGCTAGTCAATAATACGAAGAGTACCCATATTATAACTTTAATCTGCTCCATTGTCCTACGAAAAATAAATATAAGATGATACTAAGACACACGTGCTCACCAGATTCGCATCATAAGCATAATTATACCTTAATGTCGTCACTGCGGCCTCAAACACGTCCTATACGTTCCGATTTGCCTGAAACGTTGTTAGGTGATCCGCTGCGGTCTCGTTTAGTACCCCTCGACTTACTGGCAAGGACGACACGATCAATTTGATCATCATTTTTCTCGATTCTTTCACGTTCAGTGCCAAGCTTCGGCGAGGAGGTAAGAGTATTTGTGGGTTCTTTGCTCATATCGCTGGGATTTAAGCCAAGAATTCCCTTGACAAGAGCATCCGTACCCTTGACTGCCAAGTCCAAGTGCTTAACATTGGTCTTCATCGCAGCGCGCATCGTTCGCCAGCAGAACATCTCATTTTTATCCGGCCAATACTCTTCTTCGATTCCGTTCTCAGGATCCCATGCTTCTTTAAAGCGGTCCGTATACACCTTCAGAGAGACTTCTGTGGCTTTATTGCAGATTTCAAACTTTATAAGTATTACTGGCAATTTTCCACAAGATCGTAGCATGCATGTAGATTTTCCACAACGTACCTCTTTCTTTGCCCTTTATCTTTTCCAATATCTTTGACGGTTTCGAGCTTTCTGACAAAATCTGCTCTAGAAGCAGGGATGTAAGCTGACGACGAGGACGCTTTACATCTGGTGTTAGAGCAGCAGAAGTATCGTTTTCCATTGCAGCTGGGTATCGTTCGTAACCTGGACATTTCTCGAGCTTCCACTTTACCCAATTGCGCTCGCGTTCTAAGACGTAAGATACCATCTCACTATATCCTTCCCCGTCAGAAGGTGTTTGCTTGAGCAACGCGACAACGCGGTCAGTCAAGTCGGCAAACTTTGCCTTTGGCGTCGTACTGTCGGCAGGGGGCTTAATCCTTGCCATATCACTAAAAAGAATGAGAAACTGAGTCAACATGCATTCGCGGAGAATTGGATCTCGCAACTGAAGACGGAAAAGACGGCTGTTTGTCAGATACTTCGGCTGAAAAAAATGCTCTTGAGAAATCGGTTCTATTGGACTTTTACCAGCATCGCCATCAAATGCATGCAACGTCACATCGGCCTTTATGTTGACGCCGTTATTAGCGTCTTCTGAGCGCTTCAGATCATCTGGCGAGAATGCGTTACCTTCGAAGGCTGCGAGCACCATATTCAGCTCAGTAAACTGCAAAACACAGATACCAATTTACTGAGCGCTCAGGAAAGAAATACAAATAGTAATGACACGTACAAGCTTTTCCCAATTCTCTACCGACTGCGTGGCTAATTGATGTTCGCGAAAAAAACTTTGTAAATCCCAAAAAGTGCGATAGAGATTGTAGTCAATTGGACTGGCATCAACGGTGGCACCACTGTCTATCTACAAATAAGCGGGGCATACTGCATCTTGACAACAATCCATGATTCAGCATCTACTTGTTTTGCACAAACCTCAAGTCTAAGAGCGGAAGCCTTGATAACATCTGTCGCCTCAGCCTGGTCAAAGGCATCTTCGTCTTCAAATACTGTCACATTGGTCACATTTGCTTTGCCAGTTAGATTCACTGCTGATCGCTCCGACAGCGCAAATGTGAACGACAAGAACATTAAGATCCTGCCGCAAAAGACACTATTGTGCGTCTTGGAAAGGCGGCGCAGTAATGCGTTGCACATCCGCAATAGGCACAATGATGCTTTGGTGGTGCGGCCTTTTTCAGCGATAAAAGCCGGCTATATTTTGCGAAAAACACACATGAATACATTTTTCATAATTTCTCAGATCAAAATCTCGACGAGACACACCGTCGTGAGCTTGTCCTTGCGAATTTCAAGAAGTACCCACACTTTTTCGCACGTGCTTATAGTTTGTCCCTCCATGAGATCCTCCAGTATCTTATATGGCGTGCTATTCACTAAGAAACCGCTGGTCACGCCAATTATACATAAATCCAGGAGCGCAGGAATGCCCACGCTGCTGGGCGTGGCATGGGACTCCGTCATGAGCTTCCACGATAGCTTTTCCACTACTTTTTGCACTGCCATCTCAAGTACGTTGTGCGTAACTTCTTGTGGTTTCGGAATCTTAAGCACATGCTCAACTGCTTCCAACGTGTGGCAATGCAAACGGTCTAGTCGTGACAATGCATCGTCACGCGCGAAAAAATCGCCAATTGATTTCTGGAAACATCAACGTAAATAAGACATGTATACATCAGAAGAGGAGAGGGAGGAACTTACCTCCGCGGTTTTGAAAAGCTCCAGGGACATTTTAGACGATAAAGTGGCGATGTACCGGTCCTTATTTCGTGCAATATAGCAATATATTTAGCCAATGAGAAAAACAGAAGGAAGAGCCACATAGTAACTACAAAAAGTGACGGCAATTCTTGATATCAACAATCTTGCAATGGAGCACGCACCGTATCGTGGCGCACGTACACGTAGCACTATTGTCGCTACTGTCCCGCGACAAAGACCGGCTTCTTTTTCTCGATTTGTCTCGATAAGTGGTTTGGTCTGGCCTTCTTCATGGACAAGTATAGTGACATGACATGGTTCCTCAGCAATTTACACAAAATCGATGTCAAATAAGCGACAGCCTTCAAAGCTCAAAGAGAAAGCTTTATCTCTGCTATGATTTTTTTTCCCCTAAATCCGGATCGACCATTCATGTCGTCTGCTATGCTTCACCCTTTGCCTTACGCTGCGCTTTACTCCGAGTGAACGTGCACTCGTGATCGCACTGTGTCCTGCCAGCGCAACATACGGAGATAAACTACCTAGTTTAGACTAAAGACATATTTGTAATGAAGCAAGCCTTTGTCAGGTAGCAATTTGTAATCTGACAGATCATGACTCATTGCAAAGCGGCGTCGTTCGGTCGGTTTAATGTGGCGGCGAGTGCGCTACCGTGCCGACCCAATTATGAGCTGTCGTAAATTAAGATGGTGACATCAACAAATAGTGAGGCAATATGCAGCGTATTAGATATAATGCAAAACATGTTTCGCCGCTGAAAGCTGAATAGCAAGAAGATTGTGAGCTCAAATGCTATTTACTGAACGTTTGGTTGGACGTTAGGATCGCTATATATAGGCGAGCTGATTCTCAGCGCTGACCCACCTAAAACCCCAATTTCAGGTTTGGAGTAGTGTATGAGGCACAAAAGGCCCCTCAAGTGGCCACCTTGGAAGAGAATGGACATAGTGCTGGGTGAGCGCTGCGTGTTGGTGGTCTGACATGTGCGAAAAAGTAGGAGCTTACGTACGCACATGCAAAACGTGCTCACGAGCTAATGCCTCGCCGCATGCATTGGCACATTTGGCCAGCAGTGCGGTGGCTTTACAAATGTCTGAACTTTATTAAAGCTTTTCAAATATGTGTTTTGGCATTATGTTCTTGTGATCAGTCGGAGGATAATAAATCATCTCGCTGCTGTTAGCGACACACCGCTACAGATGAGAATCCACCATGATGTTCCTCAATAAATTTCGCTACCATAGTTTGCCGGTGGTTATTGTGCCAGATCAAAATACGCGCTTTTTAGTGTAGCTTTGGTGATCGTTGTTCGAGGATCTGGTACCAAGTTAGCATATCTACTGCAAACCAACCGCAGCAAACGCCCGCCTCACGTGTAAGATGATTCCCTTTAATCGACTAGCGTAGAGAGACCGCAGCCATTGATCTGCAATGAAAATCGCCTTAACTCACATTTCAAATAATGGTTTGATCAATCATCATGTTTTTTACAGGTATGGATTTGTTAGCTCGGAGCTTTCGATTCGATTTGACTTCTTGGTAGCAGCCCGGCTGCAATTTCTGGTACAACGATAGATTGTATTTCTTTCGATGAGATTGATCGCCATACGCCGAATGCGCGACGCCATGGCTGAGAGCCAGGATCGACAAGGGCATCATGTTGCTGCCTGATTCAGGAAAAACAAACAAACATTAAGGGAAAGATTTTTTCAAACGCTGTCAGTCTACCTACACATGCGTTACCTGCATTCGATAAGACTGAGTTGCGACTACGCTACATTAGACCGTTCACGATCATAGCAAAACATAGATTGAATTACAACCCGCACTCTTAGAGAAAGAAAATTTATTCTGTGCTCTCCATGGCTTAGCTAACGCCACATGACGATCTCGCTCTTACAAACCAGTCGAACACGAAGCAATCTGTTGAGCTGAAGCATCGTCCCAACTATCCCATGTAGCCGTAGACCCTCTGGGCAACAATGTGATTTTGAGCCGCTGGGTTGTCTAAAAAGAGAATGTTAACAGTACACCCTGTCGTTCTTACAATTAAAAAGATGAAAACTGCTGATACGGATTGTATGGTACTAAGTCGATGCGAATTACAGTGGTATTAGTCTATGACGCAGTCAATGACTGTGTATTGAGGTGTTTGTGTTGTTTGTGGTAGCTTTACAACTAAAGCGATGGTGCTGAGGGTGATGCGGCATTTGCTTTTGGCGAAGTAGGTTTGATGGGTTGCTAATCAATACCGTGACGGATATGTAATTCTGTGGTGCGTAATTTGAGGTACTGGGGATTCCAGATGTTGCGTCATGTTTATTGCATGCGTCATGTTTATTGCATGCGTCATGTGAATTTCTTACGTTTGAGATGCCGAATTTTCTCGATACAAACGTCCATCAAGACGTAAAGGGTAGCAAATTGAAGACATATACATGAGTGTCGGACCGGTTGGGCTTGTGTGGTATATCTCGATTACCAAGGTCAAAAGCATACTGTAACGTATAATGGCCTTCTACTGGATATAACGCTGCGTGTGTGTTCCAAAGTTTCGAGTCAACGAAAAGTGTAGTGCTTGACTTTTGGGAATCAAGTCACTCGATGCTCTTTAAAACAGCCATAGCGACACGATTGTTGACGTTTCATCCATCAACACCACTATACATTTCAACAAATCGTCCAGCAAGAATGCTCTCTGAGGGAGACACTTATGGCAAGACTGGGTTCTATTGACTTGATGTACACAGACATAAGTACATTTCCAGAAGGCCAGCCTGTGCCTTGACAGACTTGACCAAATATTGCCGGACAACTCCGTGTGAGAGGCCATCCTCGTCTCCTCTCACCTTACACAAGGCGCAAATATTATGTGCTATCGCAGGTGATATTTCCAGAATTCCAACCGGTTAAATTACCTGAAAATTCTGAATTAAATTTTTAGGATAAGCAGAAAAGGAAACGCAAGGTGCTGACGTTTAATACTTTCACAGTGTTATTATCTGTGTGTCCCACTGGGCTGTGTGGAAAATAGGAGAGTCATCTATTCCTCTTGAGCGCAAGTAAGACCATCACCACTAGTTAGCTCGTCGTACGATCGGCTCCAACCGTCCCTAGAATTCGAAAATTGTAGTCAACGCAATGCCCTTTCTTGAAAGAGATGGGGCGACGCGGAAAAGCTTGGCGCGAGTTGTATAGAAGTCACGAATAGTGCAGCTATGGCTATCTTTTAATAGAAGATAGCCATAGCTGCACTATTCGTGACTTCTAGACATAGCCTATAAAGTTTTTACTCTCAGTCCCAAGTGATCAAAACATTAAACCGCCCTCGGTAAGTCTAAGTAGGTAGTGCAATCACCCGCAGCATATGTCGCTCTTGTTCTTCCTTGTAAGGAAGCCTCTTGTACTGAATAAGTGCACGCAAGAGAAAGACCATCTTCCGTGCGCGGCACTCTATTGAGAAGACCTCTAGCGATACACAATATTGCTCCATCTGGAACATGGGTTGTTTAGTTATTATTTCAACTTCCTCTTTCCCTTCCCCACAAAAGAGCTTTACTGTCTATTCCTTCAAAGGGCTGTCCCTTTAGATTAGCGGATGTTGAGGGAATCTGATTGTGCTTCAACCGATAGGATTGGGTAGTTCGTCTTCGAAGGCGTCTCGTCAGCGCATCTCCGAAGCTGTTGAGCGTTATTAGGCAAGTCAGAACTGATCTGGTCTTTGGACCGCCAGTTTCCTGATGTCTTAGGATTCAAGACTAAAGAGATAGGCACGTCCGTATCAGATGAGTCAAGTGATTCCGGGGATAGATAATCGATTGTCTTGTACTTCATCCTCACAGGATATACAGTACAAAACGCCTTGATTGTAGGATTGTTAGTTGTGCTACAGGTGGAACAAAACCGTCGTGCTCTTTGCAAAGAAGTAGCAAGAAAGGTTTGTTTGAACGAGTGTGCGCTTACAACGACTTGTCCAGAAGTAGAACCGAGATCTTGTAAAATCACATAGAACGAAATTAGCTTTTTATATCAAGAGTGCCATGTATGTTTAATCATTTTTTTTAATCAATGCGATATATATTGGTCTTACTATTTTTGTAACGGGTTACACGTACCCTTATAACAGGGGTGTGTGTCAACGAGATGGGCATGGTGTGACTGCACCCAGATAAGAATACGGTACATGTAGCCAGTAGTTATGCATGTATTTAGATTTTACTAAAAAATATTTAAATAAATCTATACAATATAATTTAGGCGGCTTTGCCGCACAGTTTACATTTTAAACAGAAGAGTTTATTAGCCTTGGGTTAAGGTTATAACTACTCTTGGAGGTAGCGGATTGCGATCCGCAACACTCATACTGGTTCTTGTGAAGAACGTAAGGTCGGTGACCTAAAAGTTACGAAAACGCGCTTGCTAGAGCACCTGCAGCAGAAGATATCTGCATCGTTTGCGTCTATGACGCCACCATCGGTGACGGAATACTTCCCCCGACCTAAACCGCTAATGGTGAGCGTTAAGGTCTTTGAGGGGAAGGATGGAGAGAATCCCCTGCTCTGGCTGAGAGAGGTCAATATGGCCATCGCACCCGCCATGCTCCAGACCGAGCAACAGCGCGTGGCGCTAGCCATCTAAAAGCTCGGTGGTCGAGTGCGAGAATGGGCACTGACGTATGGCCCGTCGGTTGGAGCTGCGTTTCCTTCCTGGGCGGAGCTGAAATTGCAGCTCTCCCGAGTGTTCTCACCGCCTAATCAGGCGTATCTGGTGCGATCGTGTTTCCTTGCCATCCGACAGGGCAACAGGGAATCGGTGGTCTTTGTCCGAGAGTTGCAAACTCTCATTGCCGGGATGGCAGCAGATCCTCTCCCGGAGGCGGTCACAGTGACCGTGTTTATGGAAGACCTCCGCACTGGCGTC